AAAGCTCTCTATTTCATTTCATGGTTTTCTAATTGAAATTTGATATACCTTACGTCACGCCTGTCATTCATTATAGAATTAACCTGCTTGAATAGGCCCAAAAAAGGGCTAAATCCAAGTGCTGAGGTGGCAACACCTCGACCCTTGGATTTGGAGAAAAAAAAAAAAAGATGTGAACTCAACCCCCTGTTTTTGAGCCTGTCACTGAGTCTGGCTCAGTAACACGGCTGTTCATTATAATTCCATGAGAAATGCAAATTCAAATTCAATTGGATTATACCGCTAAAGTACTCTTAAGAAGATGGGAAACTGACGCTATTCAATTGCTACTGAAACAAAGATCAATTTTACATTTAATACATCGTAATCTTCGTCCCTTTTGTATATCGGATTTATGGGGTTTTATTCCTAATTTCATAATTTCTACATATCAAAGGTAATGTTACATTATATGGATAATTTTACCAATTTTGTGAATTGTTTAGATAGTTAGCAGATACAACATTGATTCTCTGCTTAGGAAGTGTGAGAAAATGGCATGAAGGAATTTTTATGTTTGGTCAATGATGATATATAGGTATTTTAAGAAGGTTGATATTGACAGGGCAATAGGGCTTGATGATAGAATGAGTAGGTATGTGCAACATGGGATGTGTAAGGAAGCAATGGAGGCTATCAAGAGAATGTAAGTTGAGCGTTTTAAACCCAATGAAGTTATAGCACGGAGTATTTATCTGCTTACGTTTAGTTGGTTTTGAGCTCAACTCGAAATCGAAACTAACTTGATCGGTTTGAATAAAGAAAAAATTCATAATTCAGGTGTATTATTTTCACCAATTCAAAAATCAGGTAGATAGTTTAAACATTCAAAATTCAGATATATATTTAATTAATTAAAAATATTTATTAAATATATATAATAAAGTCACAGTTATACGATTAATGATCACGTGTTCATAATTACTAGTCACAGATTTATTTATTAGTCACATATTATCGAATTAATTTGTCACGGATTATTTCATGGTCACAAATAAAAAATTTTGTAGGTCACAAATTATTTTGAGGTCATAGATCATTCAAATTCCTGGTCACAATTTATTTATGTATCACATATTTTAACATTTATTGGTCACAAATTATTTTTTTAGTCACAAATTATTGAATTTTAAAGATCACAGGCCAAATCATTGGTTACATACACCGAAAACTCCACCAGCAATCCCAATTCATCACTAATACTTGGTCATAGAGCAACTATATAGTTGGTCATAGTCACTATTACGCCTCGCCTCGCCTCACCATACCACCACCACAACCACAGTCCACAACAACCAACTGCACCACACCACCACACAAGTTGTCTAATGACTTCTATGCACTAAATCAAAAATATTATATTCCCCACAAAGGAAGGCCTGAAGGTGCTAGGCAGTAGGCAGCCATCTCTCTCTCTCTCTCTCTCTCCCTCCCTCCCTTCTTCCCTCTCTCCGTGTCTTTCTTTTGTTTCGGTAGTTTTGAGAAAATCTGTGAGACAAAAACCCTTTAATCCATACTCAAAAATCACACAGAGAAAGTGACTGACTGTGAGAGAAAGACTAAGGAAAAGATGGTAGAGAAAGGCCAAACGCGTAGCACACCACACCATATCGTTCACGACGTAGCCTCCACCTTACACCACAGAGAGAAAACAACACCCACATGCCTCCACCTTACACCACAAAGAGAAAACAAACAGAATAGTCCCTGGTGAAGTTGCTTCAGAGCTTTGCCGCCATCATGAATCACCTGGTGTTTTATGGTAGAGAAAGGGGAAAGAATATAGATGGTAGAGAAAGAAATGAATTAGGGTTGAAATTGAATTTGGGTTAAATATTTAATATTTAATTATTAAATCAATACCTGATTTCTAAATAATGAAACTTCGGCTTTGATTTTTGAATTGTAATGTTTAAAGCCCTGGAATTTTGTAATTTCCACTTGAATAAATTCCAATTCAACTTTTGAAACCGAACCGAACCAAACAAGTCAGTTTGAACATTTGTCCGAGTTAAAAAAATTTGCCTATCTATTTAGGTTAAAAAAATTGTTATATGTAAATTTTTTTCTTGCGTAGCAGGTATTAATAATATATATAATGTAAATGGTAAAGCATCGATTTTTCCAAAATTATCATATGTATTCGATAGTTACTAGCAAACAATTAAAACATAATGAAAAGTAAGGAGACAATCTAAATTTGTTGTTTACATAAATAATTTTTCTCCTTACTTTTCTTTTCATTTGAAATTTGGAGTTTTAGAAGAAAAGGCATATACGGTAAATAAATTATATGAGAAAGAATTATATTTATATTTATATTATTTTATTTTTTAAGTTAAAAAATATGAATTTTAAAACGAAAAAAAAANTCACACGCCTAACATTTCCAACAGGATATGCAAAGGTAAGTTACATTGCATGATATTTGTTGGGTTTTTGATACCCAATAAATCCCGGGCTATAATGTTAACGTGAGTTAATATTATTTCAGAGGCATAGGCCGATGAATGAAATAAGTCCAACAACCAAATTCATAAGCTACACCCGGTTCAATTGTATTCCTTATGGATGACTTGAATCTTGGCTCGTTTACCCCTTTAATGGCCCAACTTAAAGCCTAACCCTAGAGTATATATATGAATATAACCCTAGCCTCTTTAATATGATGATTGTGTGATTTTGAGAGAAGAAATAAGAGAATCCCGGCTGCACCCTTTTGTGTGAGAAAAAAGGTGTCCAGAAGTGTCCAGAACGCTGGTATAACTTGTGTAATTGGTGGTTCTTTCATAGTATGCCTTTGTGGTGTCTTCTCTTAGCCTTTGTGGCGATAAATCATCATCCTTTCTTGTCCTACATGAGTAAGATTGAATAGCAATCAAGGTGAATCAATTGGTTGTGGTTTGGAGCCGTTTGGATTGGTTGTTGGTAGAGAAAAGTACGTTGGACTGAGCCTGAAAAATCACCATTTGAAGATCCTTTTGAGAGAGTTTCCGCAACAATATTTTTGAAGGTCACTAAACTTCAAAAATTTTCCTATTGGTTATTGAACTTTTCAAAATGTAATCTCATCCACCACTCACTCAATGGACGGTAAAAAAAAATTGATGGGTTTGATGAAGTGGCTGGCGAAATTGCATACGTGGCAATCTATTTTCCACTTGGTATCCACGTCATAGTAATTTAAAAATTTAGTAATGGATGGGATAACAGATTCCACGTTAGCAAATGGTAAGCTCCCAATGAAGTATCCGGGTACAATAACAAGAACTTTAGTTAATGAGGATCGCCATTTTAGATATGTGTTCATGGCCTTTGCAGCTTTAACAATGGGGGTGCTTAACACCGTGGCAATAAGATATGTAGATATCTGGTGAGTTGGAATTGTTGTTTGTTTGAATTTAATATTAATTATTTGCTAAATACTTGAGTAACTTGAAACAGACAGCAACCTTGAAGGGTAACGCAGTAGTAACTTAGAATTTGCTCTTTAATAGTCATCAGTTCGAGTCCCCTCAAAACCATTGGGGTGATTACTTAGTTGTAAGCTTTAGATACCCATGAGATTAGTCGAGGTGGATGTAAGTTGGTCCGAACACCCACTGTCATAAAAAATAAAAATAAATAATAATAAAAATTGAAACAGACAAGCGTTGGCCATGATAAATAATTTAAAGCGCATATGGTGAAAAATATGTATTCAATGACGACAATGCTATAAAAATGGATTGTTCATGTTATTGACTACCATGTAACAATATAAAATTTTAGTGAACCGTATTATTTAAAGAACTTACCCATTTTGTAATATGCATATGAATCGTACGAAGAGATATCGTGTAAAGACTTATTCTTAAATTAGTTCCAATACAAAAACTAAATTACCTTGGTTACCTAAAATCTGAATATACAATAAAAATGAGATAATACATAATACGATTAAATAAAATCAAAGGGATTGGGTGCAAAATTCAGTGTTAAACAGCAAGAACATTGACAAAACATGCAGTAACATCCTAGCATATATCTATAACTACTATATAAGAGGGAGTTATACTTTACTGTTCACAAGCCGTTTAAGCCATTTAACTAAGCCAAGCCGCGTTATCTTATAAGTCTGACCATTACAGTGCTTCAGTACAATTCACGCAACCATGTCTCATTAATGCTGGTTGGACTAACTCACCATTTCTTCTCTCTGACATTTTATCTCTCTTCCATTGCTTCTTCACTCCATTTCACACGCAACCACCATGTCTGTTTACTCTACAGATTTTTTTTTTTTATCTTCTTGTCAATTTTTTTTCTCTTTTTGTGTCTTTCTCTCTCGCTATTCTCTCTGCTCTAATTGGTGGCAGTTAGATCTGTACGAGGAATTCCCATGGAGATGTCCTAAAGATGGAATTAGATACAAGCAAATTGTAGAAAGGAAGAGGCTATAGATGTTTCTAATTGGACTCAACAAAAATCTTGACGCTATTTGAGATAGAATTCAAGGAACAAAACTACACCCTTAACCTTCGAGAAGCATTTTCTGATGTCCGACTTAAAGAGAGCAGAAAAAGTCCTTTTTTTTTTTTTTTAGTCCGACTACAAGAAAATAAATGCAATAGTTGTGTTTAAAATTTGCAATTCATGGTTTCTTTTTGATGTCTTTCACTGCTAGGCCGTATGTTATAGTAGCCTGTTTTAAATGGAAGGAAGAATTGTGTTAAAAAAAAAAAGAAGTTCTCTCTGCTCTAATTTCTTGACATCTTGTGCAGATCTTTTGGCTATGAATCCTAGGTATGGTGGATAGGTTTACCGTTTGTTTCCATATCTGCAAGATGTTTTTGGGCTTTACGATTTTTTTCTCGTCCTTCTCTTCATGATTTCTTTCTTCAGATCGCAGAACTGGAACCCTAACTTCCAAAATTTGTATGCATTCAAGCAGGTAAAGGTATATACTCTCCGATGAAGTTTGGGAAACAGCTATGCCTCGAACATAGCATTAGCAAAGAAGGCATTCTTGAAGATTTCGCTACTCAGGTCCAAACCTCTCACACTCTCTATATTTTTGTAAGATTTTTCCATTAATGTAGAGTTGTTTTATGCTTGTGATTGGCGAAGAAATTGGAATTGAGAATGGAAAAGATATTATAAAGGGATGTTTTGAATTTGATTGGTGATTGTGCAGTGTAAATGTGCTGAAACTCAATGCTTTACTGTCAGTATGTTTATGTTTATGTCTTTGTATACTCATTTCTTTTTTTCCTTTTTTCGGGTAGAGCTGTTGTTTTATGTTTTCCTTCGTAGAAAAGTATAACCGGAAAAGATATAAAGAAGAAAAGTTTTCAATTTTCGAATTGGTGATTATGGGTGGAAATTTTTGATACTTGATGCTTTACTTTTTCTATGATTTTTCCTGTTTGATCGTGATGGAGGTAGAGAAGGCTTGAACTATTGGGTTGGTGAAGTGCAATAACAAAGTGTGGCAGTTCATGTATCAAAAGTTGTACCCATCTTAGTCTGATGAAATGAAATTGCACTGTATTTTTTTTATTTTGTTTTGTTTTGTGTGTTTTAAATAAGGAATTTGGTAGTTTGTCATATCGTGTTTTAGTTATTAAGAGTATTAGTCAGCAAGTGCAAGTTGGAATTGGAAGGGAAAGAGAGCAATATAATAAAGTGTTAAGTTTCAGTTATTTTGGAAAGGGAATTGCCAGAGAACCGAGAGAATTGTTTCAAATAAGTTCTTGATTGTACAAATGAGCCTGTACTGAGTGATTGGTCCACAGCTATATTAAGCACCATTGAATTTTGTGAGTTTTATTCTTATAATTCCTTTTATTAATGTTGATTAGATTACAAAATAGTTTAGTTATTTGCAGGTCTTTCGCACTGTTTTTATTGTGGTTTAATGTGATTATCCATAATTAATGCAGAAAATTAGGACTCTGGAGCTAGATGGGAAGATAATTAAGCTTCAAATTGTGAGTTAATTTGACTTAATGACTACTCCATAGTTATGAACATGAGTTAATTTGATCTAATGAATACTGTATCGTTGTGAATTTATAAAAACATGTATATGAATATTATTTTAGCTGTATGTGCTATTCCTTTATGATGGTTTTGCTACCTGTAATATGTGCTTCATGCAAATAAGTATCAGAAAAAGAAATCAACAGCTCTTAGTTACTCTTTTTCTCAAATGATACTACTTGTGTCAAATTGAAATGCTAACAGAAATATTTTATGGCACCTGGATAGTCTTACATAGGTTCAAGTGTAGAAATTAATTTTAAATTATATCTTTACTAATTTCTATGATGTTACGTTCTTCTGCTGATATTTGTTGATTACAGGAGACTTGAGGGGTGGATTGGTCTCTGTTTGATATGGAATGTTAGGATCTAAATTGACAGTCGAGGGATAAAGTTTCTGACGACAATTTCAATAGCTGTGTCTACATACTTTCTGACTGTAGGGAAAATAACTATATTTGGTGCACACGTCTTATCCGCTAACCAGTTGAGATCAGACTACGGCCTCTTTTCCTTAGAAAAAAAAAAAGGAAATAGTTTATATAATCTAATTTAATTGTCATTCAAAATAGGTCTCATTTTTCATTCAAATACTACATAACCAAATTATGACACTATTACTTACACTACATCACCTACTATACGTGCAAAGCACGTGCCTTCACTAGTATATGTACAATTTTCCTTACAATTGTAGAATAGCATGATTAATTGATATTTATCAAAAGCTCCAAATAAAAAAAAATTGAGATTTATTAATAAACTGCAAAAACTTATTTAACAATAAATAAATAAATAAATAAAATAAAGGCAAAAGAATGGGATTCCTTTTTAGTTGTATTCTTTGAAAATGGTTAAGAATCCAAAATCGTAAAAAAATTAAAAAAAAAATAAAAATAATAAGGAAAAAAGAACAGATCTTATGGACTACAAAAATTTATATAATAAATAAATTAAGAACATGTGGATAATAATAGAATGTGTCTTCTTCTTCTTCATGTTAGACTTCAAGGATCGACAGCAGGGGCGGACCCACTAAGGGATGAGTGGGATCGGCCCCCTCCCCTCCACTCAATTTTCAAAAACCTTCAAATCGACCTTATTAAATTTAAATTTTCAATTTTTTTTTGATTTTTTTTCAGAATTTATTTTAATCAATTTTCCGTTTCGCCCTCACTGAAAAATAATTCTGGATCCGCCTCTGATCAACAGTTTCATTTACCTTCTCCACTGTTGATATCCAATGTGCAACTTTGTGTTAACGATGCGTTTACCAAAGCTAATTTCTATCTGTTAATGGATATTCAATCAAACTGCGGTAGGCTATTATGGACACGTCGATTTGGATGGCAACCTGACAATTAGAGTCATAGTTTTTACCAGAGAATCCTAAATAGTCACTGCACGAGAGTGTCGATTTTTGGGTGTATCCATTTTGTGGAGAGATTTTCGGAGCTAATCTTTTTGGATTCCAAAAGTGAAAATTTTATGAGATACGGGGAATTATTGAAGTACATGAGGCGGAGTCAGAGATTTCGTTCAATACGGGCACAATTATAAGTATTGACTACGATGCTTTTTTTTTTTTTTTCGTCGAAATTAGTCTATGAACAAAAAGAGTTTCATATGATCAATGTATAGTACATTTTTTAACAATAGAAGATAAAATGATGGGATCCATTGTATAAACAATAAATTGATGGGCCAATAAATTCATAACAGGGCCTATAGATTTATTTTATTTTTATTTTTCCTTCTAAAAGCCTAACTAAAGAGTAGGGCCAAAATCTAAAAATTAAAAAATTGGCCCAGCTCCTACCCATCTTCTTACCTCTGTTCTTGGCAAATGTTATTTTCTTCCTCCGACTGTAACTTTCTTCCTCCTTCCATTCTTCTGCCTGCAGACAGTACACACTTTCTTCTTCTTTCTTTCCTTTTCTTCTTCTTCCGTCCCCTTTCTTCTTCTTCTTCTTCTTCTTCTCTTCTTGTTGGTCCAGACGTCCAGTGCAGGTGAGGCACACTGGAGGTCCTGTATCAAGTCCAGAGTCCAGTGCAGGCATTGGCATGCTACACGAAGTGCTTGCACTGGACTCCATGTAGCTCCACCCCTGTACGTGATGTGTGGGTACGTTGCTTAATGTAAGTGATATAATATTTTTGTTCTTCTTAAAAAGACGATTAATTTTACTATGCACTAATAGTATTTCTGGAATAATAAAAGTGGTGCAGCAAGATAGAAATTAGGTTTTAATTGGGGGAGAGGGTGAAATTTCCTCAATTTAAAATCCATTGAAAAGCTCAACCTACACTAAAAAGTCCATACTACTTTTAAAATTCAATAAATCAAATCAAAAGTGGTGGTTACGAATTAATTATAATTTTTTCTATAAATAGGACCAAAGGTCCATAAAAAAATCACAAGTGAAACGTGTAGGTAAAAAAATCTCAAATGCAAAAGAAATTTCAAAGACAAAGGCAAAGAAAAAGAAAAAACTCTCTCAAATTTAAGTCAAGAAATACCAAGAAAATCAAAGTCTTTTTCAAATTAAAAATATCCAAACCAAATCTAAGAAGATCAAAATCTTCTTTAAGTTAAAGCAAACTCAAGTCTAAATCCCGAAGTTCAGATCCAAGTCTCGAAGTCCAAGACAAGATCAAGTATTAAACAAGCCAAATTCTCAAGAAATCAAATTTTCAACAAATTTTGAAGTCCATGATTCAAGTCACGTGGCCCATCGTTTTCAGACTCTCAGATCATTAATCAGAAAATCTTGCAATTCTACAGATGCAAGAAGATCAACCTCTATTGTATTTTTCAAA